TCAGTTTTGGGCCCCTCACTATGGGCACTAAGGGGCTGGAGCGTGTCTGGAGAAGGACATGCTGATGAAGGGTCTGGAGCACGAGTCCTGTGAGGAGCAGCTGAGGGAACTGGGCTTATTTAGCCTGGAGGAGGCTCAGGGGAGACCTTAATGCTTTCTGCAACTACCTGGAAGGAGGTTGCAGAGAGGTGGGGATTGGGCTTTCTTCCCAAGTCACAAGTGACAGAACAAGAGAAAATGGCTTCAAGTTGCACCAGGGGAAGGTGGCATATTAGGAAAAATTTCTTCACTGAAAGAGTTGTCAGGCATCGGAATGGGCTGCCTAGGGAAGTGGTTGAGGCACCATCCATGGAGGTATTTGAGACATGTGGATGAGGTGCTGAAGGACATGGTTTAGTGGTGGAGTTAGCAGTGTTAGTGTAATGGTTGGACTTAATGATCTTGAAAGTCTTTTCCAACCTAAAAGATTCTATTGTTTACTCAGCTTGAGGGTGAGACTTTGAAAACAAGAATCTGCTGTTGAGTCCCAGCTTTGGAAAGTTTCATTGACTTAGATGTTCCCTGGGGATACTATCAGCCCAAAATATCAATGTAATGTTAAGGCAAAAAAAGTTGTTCAGCTACCCTCTCACTCCTTCTCATCACACCCTCCTTTTATTCCACTTTTCTATTTCTGCTCCGTAATTATTTTGTAATTCCACAGCCAGAGGTGTGGAGGAGGGATTGTAACTCATCTAAACCTTGCTTTGTTCATGAGTCATGTGTTATGCTCTGGCTAACAAAAAAAAAAACAGGTAAGATACAATGGGGGAAAAAAACCCCAAAACAAATCTTTTCATATTCCAGTTTTCAGGAACCTTTCATTGCATGTGGACTTTTAATCCTGCCAAACCTGAAAACAACAGTGTTTGCGTGGCCGGAGGGGACCAGCTGTGCTTGCAGCACCGACGCACTGCCACCCTGTGGTCACTGACCGTGGGAAGACACCAAACTCGGGTACGGTACCTGCAACACAGGCTGTCATGAAGCAGGCGACTGTTCCGGCAATCATCGCTCTGAAAGCACCACCAGCTATTTCCTTTTTCTTTGAAGGTGCAATGCTTGCTAGGAAGAAAATTAAAGTGTGTGTCAGACATAAAGAAGACAAACCTGCCATGTCTCCCACCACACCAGGAAATTCCCACCCTGCAGGTTAAACCAGGAGAAACAATAAAGGAAAATGAGAAATTTCAGTGGGCCATTGAAGGCTTAGTGCCAATGTGGGCTCTTTGTGTTGAGAGGGTGGTCTGTGTATAAAACAGCGACTTCTGCTTGCTTTGGCAGTTTGCATGCCTGTGCTGGATGATGGTGGCTTTCAGATGTGAACCCCAGGCACAGTATTGGGCTCTGACCCCCGTGCTGCCCCGCTGCCAACACTGTAGACCCCAGCTGGGATCCAGAATAAAGGCAGCCATCAGCAATTCTGGACAACCACTGAGGAACCCAGATGCTTTTTCAATTTTTTCTTATTTGCTTGAGATCTGAAAAGCCTTTTGTTTTTAGTTTCTTTACGACCCTTCGGCATATGATGTGACTTATTTACAGGAACTGGCCAACTTTGTCTTTCAATCCAGCAGGCTACAGAAACAGTTTGCTCCTCCTGAAGCCTGAGGACTGTGGTAGATCAGGCTCGTGGTGTGAGGGCTGGACAGGGAGGCCTATCAGCAGGGCTTGGTCCCCCCACATTGCTCTCAGCCCCTCTCCCAGTACCTCCACACCAAAACCTACATCCCCCTGGGAGCCCTTCCATGCGTGGTTAGGTGCTGGGTCTTGGCAAAGCAGCTGTTCAGGCTCTAATACTGCTTAATTTCACCCACAGCCTGTTCCTTTGGCTGCTTTTTTGGGGATTTGCTTTTCAAATAAATTGTCTATGAGAGAGCTGTTCTTACTCAGGCCTCCTATGACCAGTCCCAGGGAGCCAAAGTTGGCAAACCCACAAAGAGCATAGGTAGCAATGACTTCAGAGCGAACCTGGAAAAAAAGCACACATGCTGTTGAGTGGTATGAGACAGCTCATGCTGATTTAGAGGTCTGAAAACATGGCATTGTGGCTCAGGTCTCTGAGCCCTGAAATCACCCTGTTTTGCTTGGTTGCTGCCCCAGTGTGCCTTTCAGCAAGGTAGGCTCATTCTCTTCCTGAAAGGTGAAGGTTTTCACACCCACTGCCCATGTGAGGACTCATAAACCATGTGATGGTTTTATTCTTCATGTATGTTGCTCTACCTTGTTGTACTGAGTACTAGCAATTAAAGACCAAAAAAAATTCTTATCTCACTAGTGGTGATTTAGCTGCTGTTTTTTTGAAGACACAAGTCAGAGAGCTTTAACTCAGCTTGTTGTTCATAGCTGGACTGCCTCTGTAACACCCTGTTGAAACCTCTGGTTTGGTATTTATCCCTTACTTCTTTGCCTCTGAACAAGCAGTGTTCCATGTGGAAAGCTGCCCTGTGCGTGTCCAGATCTGCACAGGGGAAAAAAAGCTGAATTGGGTCTCTTAGGGAGTGGTTGCTTTGATGTGATAACAGGCAGAGACACATTATGATTTTGGAACCCCATTAGATTATTTCCTTCCTGACTTCAGCCATTCTCCTCCCCTTGGGCAAGACCAGCTCAGTCTGGACGTCCGAGCACAGACAAGGTTGGGTTGTCCTTCCTCACCATGGACGGGCCTCTCACAGGTCACAAAATAACGTAGCACAAAATCAGGCTACAAACCTTGCAGACCTTGACACAAAAGCAGTTGAAACATTTTGGAAAGGAGACAACATATCTCAGCAAATGGATTTGTTGGTCCCCACGGCAGCTCTGAACTCCTATTTATTGTGTTTTAAGCCCAAGACACTTGAGTGAGTGTTCTAGTAGGTTTCCTGTTCATTAGCAGTTTCTCTGTCTCCATGCCTGTTTTATAAAAAGCAATTTGCAGATATTTGCAATCACTCTGCACATATGCAGGAAAATGCTTTTCAAGTACCCACTCTACCTGCTTTTCCTAGAAAAGGCTTTCTGTACTGTGATTTCCCTGCTTTCATCTGCACTTTCCTAACTCTGAAAACAGGAAGCCTGGTTATTACTGACTCAGGTGAGGGAGTTCAGAAAACTACTTGTTTGCTGGCTCCGACCAAGTATCTGTGCCTGTAGGTATTAGAGAATGCTGAAGCCAAAGAGGAATTAAGGGTGGAAGTCAAGTGTGCTGACACCTGAATGGTTGTGTCATAATTAAAATGTTTACTGGGCAATTTTTACTAGTGTTATGAACCAAAATTATTTCTGTATCTCAGAGGTTTTTACCATGGAGGCATATACAGTAGGTATTATAAGTGAACATGAAAGTTCTATACAACACCATACTTAACAAAAAAGGTGAAATTCAGTCAATGGGATATGAATTTTAAGGCTGACTTTTGGATTAGAAACAAACAAACAAAGTCACTCATTCAGGAGTTCATAGCCATATTCCCCTTGCAGAACACAGCACAACTACAGCAGGGCAGATCCATCTAGCCCAGGATCCTATTGCCAGGAATTCCAAGAATACTAGTAATGAATGCCTAGGCAAGTGCGCGTGTATCTGATCAGATGACCTGGCTTTTTACCTCCACTTGTGAAATATGTTCTATTGTAAGGAATGTAAGTGGTCAGGAACATGGTTTTGGGTTTGCATATAAGGCAGGTATCCACAGCATCACACTAGGTTAAATGGAGATTAAAAGCTGTACAAAAGGACGTTTCCTAATTAAAGGTGCTCTACAGTGTAAATTTGTCTTGACTAGAGGAAAAAAGGCCAGACCTTATCAAGGTGTATCATGGTTTCCATTGCCTGTGCTTAGCATGAGGACAGATTGAGCGCAGGCTGAGCGTGGACAACAGGGGGGGAGCAGTCATGGCTGGAAAGGTTGTCCATGATTCCTGCATGCTCTTTGCCCCTGGGCCACACCTAGCATGCCCCTGGCATTGCCATCCTCTGGGTTTCTTCCTCAGTGAATTGTAGTAGGAATTATGGATCCTGTTGGGTAAATTTGGGTGGACATGAGAATGAGAGGTGGGCCTGGGCTTTGCCTGGAAGCCCTCATGCAAACTAACTTTCACTGATAATCGAAACACGGGAGACGGACTCCATGCAGCAAGGGGGGTGCACATCTGGTACTACTGCCCTCTCCACAGGGAACAAAAACCTCCAGCAGAGGTGGTCCATTAATACCTTAAATGCCATCTGCTGAAGCTTGCTAGATGCCTCTCTTGAAGCTTAATGCTTGGCTAAACCTCTGCAGGTAGAAGGATCCTCCAGTTCTTGCCCAGGATTTTCCCGGGAGAGTATCTCACAGGGAAGTGCTAGTTAAGAGTGAGGTAAGCAGAAACTCACCTTCGAGGCAGCCTTGCTCCTATGTGCAATGTTCTCCTGGACACTGCATGTTCCCCAAAGCTATGCCTTTCTTTGGCAATGTTTATTTGAGATTGCTAGTGTGGTGACAGTCATGGCAGCCTCACAAAGCAACGCTGCATTTTCATAATTGAACTCTGTCACTGAAAACCACGCTTCAGAGTAATACACCACCACTATCTCATATTGAAAAATAAGTTGAGTTTCAGCAGAAAGTATTAAATAAAGTAAATTTGTAGAATAGAAAATGTTACTTACAGTCATGTACTGTTTCACACCATTAACGTACATGCTCCCACCCTTTTCTCGGTTGTGAATCAGTTCTGAGAGTCGCTCATAAGCCAAAAATTCATTGAAGAAAGTTTTGTAACCTAGTAGTCCACCGACAATAAAACTGTCTTCCCAGTCTACCCCCATCATGAAAGAGAATGGCATGAAGACATATGCACAAATGTTCTGCAAAATATTTAAGACATATATAAAAATACAGATAAGATGGGACACAAGATATGGTTAGTCAAAGAGCACTGGCATGCAGTAAGCTTTCTAAACTTAAAATAAGGATAGTGGAAGGTGTCCCTGCTCATGGCAGGGGGGGTGGAACTAGATGATCTTTAAAGTCCCTTCCAACCCAAACCATTCTATGATTCTATGATTTTATTTCATCAAAGGAAAATTAAAAGTTAGCTCAGTTAAAAGAGCTAAGAGAATAGAGTTCCACTGATTAAATCAAGTGTGTTAATGAACATGCTTAATTATCAGGTTATTGGACTCCAACTGGTGTAAACAAAAGACTTGTCTCAAAAGCCATGCATCTGACACAATTAAAGAAACACCTTTTTTCCTAGGATTCAAAGTTTTGCACAGATTTGAAAACAGCTTATTTTTATACAAGAGAGAAAACTATTACAGCTGTGAAAGCATTTGGTCAGACTGCCTTCAGTGAATGTAGCTGAGGTGTTTAAACAGTTACTATTCCTGGCTGGTTTCTCTGGTCACAAAAGGCTAGAGGTTAGTGTCTCTCAAAAGGGATGGATGGATGAAAGCAACGTGCCTGTGGGTCTCAGCCCCTTGTGGGTTGTCTATCAGTCCAAACCTTACTCCATTCAGCAGTTGTTGAAATGCCGGCCCTTGCATGAGTGTGGCTGAAGTATGTATACTTGTGCCTTTCCTCTGCTGTGAGTGTCTGTGCAGTGAGATAACCTGTGGAAGCTGTGCAGGGTAATACCTCAACATGGCTGAAGCCACATCTGCTGTGAGTGTCTATTCATTTCTGCAGCACCTTTATCGCACTGTTGTAACCGTGTTTCACATGGCCCTTTTATTAAGAGCTCGCAAAACAAAAAGCCCCAAACCATTGTACCAAAATTGTTGTATCGACCTAGGTTAAAAAAAGAAATGAAGTCCTGTTTAAAACCTGTTTGCTCAGCTGAGTGATTTGGGTGCTCTTTTACAATGTAATTGTGTGGAGAACTAAGTGGTATTGAGTACGCGTGGGTTCAGACGAGTTGGGCCTTGCTCCAGTGTCCTTATCTAAGTGAAGCTAGTGAGCAGTAAGGACTTGATAGAGCTCTCTGAAGCTAAAGGTAACTAACACTTGTGCTGAAGGAGATGTTAACGGCTTGGTAAGTGTGTAACCGACAGATCTGCTGCACTGCCAAGTTAGAGGAAGCAGGTATTAACAAACAATGCTTATAACCTGCCAGTTAGCGAGACCACCAGAGAGGGAAGATGTACAGGGACTAATGGATACAGAAATAGTTACATGGCAACAATTTTCCTCTGCCTGTAAAGACACTTTTCAAGAACATGCACATAAAAATACACATCTTTAGATCACACAAAAAAAAAGAAATCCCACAATAAAACCAGATAGGCACTTAAGAAAGACAAATTATGCATGTATATAAGTCACATGAAGTACAAAGACCATACCTCAAAGTTCAGTTGTGGATAGTCAAACATACTGCCCACCCAAGAAAGGGCAGAGTCAAGGAAAGCCAGCAGGGCAAGGAAAGAAATGAGATTCACGGTGATGTTCGCCACCAGCAGGATGGAGGTAGAGGCACCTTGACTGGCTGCTTCCAGCAGGTTCTTTGATTCACTTTATCAATTAAAAGAAAACCAGAGTGTGAACATTTTTTAATTCAAGAAGAAATCATAGAACTAAAAGCCAAATGGACTTGATTAGGAATGTATTAGTGAAGCTGACTGTTCAATCATAGAGAAAATAATGATGAGGTAGACCAAGTTTCTGCTATCCATCCTCATGGAAGCAACTGGGAAGGCATGCCTCTGGTGCCCTGAGGATGAACTCTGGCACATTCAGGGTTGGGCATGCTCTGGATCAGGTCTCAGTACTGTGACTGCCTGTGGGGCACCAGTGGGATGTGGGAATGGTCACTGCTCTTCTGGCAGGCAGCCCTTGCAGAGATGTCCAGGCTGTTTGGGAACAACTCCTTACACATGTTTTAGCTATGCCTGTTTTTCTCAAGGCAAGTGAGTCCCCCTGCAGATGGGCAGCAAGACTGCTGCTGCCACTGTTGAAATGATTGCTCCATCTTTGCTTTTGAACATTTGCACTTACAGAATCGTCGAAAAGCAAATACAGCAACAGAGCAAATGGGAACACCACTGGGTGGCTTACCTCAAATAGGCATGTCCCTGTTTCTTTGGAGGGTTTATTGTCTGGCCCAGGTCCTTGCCATCTCTGTGCCTGTCCCAGTGGGTAGTGATACCTCCATACATTGTAATGGGGCACGCTGATGAATCCCCAACTATTCTGAATTCACAACTATTCATTTGAGGTATTGTGATATATAATTAATTTATTGCTTGCACATCTAACATGGACTAATCCTAAAGCTTATGTGTGAGGAGCCATTTTTCCAAATCTCATTTTGGCACAAATATTCCCATTAACTAGAGCCTAGATCAGCTTACCCTTTTGCCATTTGTAAGTCACTCTTCAGAGTTACTGTAGGCTTTTCTGTTTCAGGCCAGAATAGTTTGGAGGTGGCTAACGATGCTGGTGCTGACATGACAGAGGCAGTCAGTAGGTGAGAAGCCGAAACCTAGAATTTCAGGTGACAGAAAATATGCTGTGACAGCCACATTATGCACCAATATGAAGGAAAGCAATTAAAATTACTAGATATTTGGATGATTTTTCTACAGGGGGTCATTAAAAAGTTCACACTGCTCAGAGAATGAGCAATACAGGAGAAAGCAGTTGGAGATGGGAAACATCTAGGTAGTGAAAAGTATGGAGTAATCTTTTAGAAGCAAACTGCTTCACTCATCTCTAGCGGCAAGCCAGCAGAGGAAAAAAAACCCAAAACCCATCACAAAAAAAAAAAAAAGCCAGGTCCACCAAGTGCAGCCGGGTGTAGCAACAGCTGAGCAGGTCAGAGCCAGCCTTCCTTAAACCCACTGAGTGCCTTGCAGTGGCAGAAAATTATTTCTGTCCCTTGAAGTTGTTTTTATTTTGTTTTGTTTTGTTTTTTTAATATTTACACAGCCTAAGATAAATTATTCTATTCACCTTTCACCCCTTCTTGCTTCCACAAATCTCTACACAAAATAACTTCTTTGCTAACTTCTGCAGTATCTCCATCTCGCCTTTTCTTGTCTCAGTCTTTTTGGCCGATTTTCCCTCCTTGCCTCTGCCTCTCCACTGTATTTATTCAGATATGGAACTAATATATTTATCAAACATCCCCCAGTGAGTCTCCCTCAGCAGATGAGACTTCTACTACCCATGTTTGTACATCACTAGAACATCAGTTACAAGTCAACTTCTTAAACTCATATGGCTAGCAACATTTCCTGAAGAACTTTATCTATATCACTGCCACAGAAGTGGGAGGGTTGATCAGTTAGTATATTCCCTATGTGAGTTCATCTGGACTGTAGGAATGTATACAAATCAGTAATTTCCTTGCAGCTATGCCAGGAAGTCTGTATTACTTGAATAGCCATTTGTGCTACTTAACAGTATCTTCAGGATCAGATCTTTGTATCCTTTTTACTGTCAGAAAACAAGGAATTTTTGTGGTTAATTCCTTCAGGGAAAAAAAAAAAAAAGGGAATGACTCAGGTATACTTCCAAAGCATTTTATCAGGGCTTCTGTACTTACATGTTTTCAAATAAACAGTATATTCTCCAGTTCTCTTTCCCCCTCTTACCCCAAAAGAAATATATGCTCCTAAGACACTTCCAGCAATTGTTGAGAACCCAGCTGTCATGACTGCATGGAGTTCAGATTTGGTGATGTATGGTAAGTAGGGCCGTACCAGGAGAGGAGACTCTGTCTGGAAGGGAAAAACAACTTCTAAATTAGAACTTCCTAATAAATCCTCAGAGGTTCCTTTTACTAACAGGGTAGAAAAAAATGAATGGCTGCATCACACTTTCTTAGGTGTCTTTGACTAGTTAATCTTAGTGTTAATGAGTGCTCAGCTAATTGATTGGAGTTTTTTTACTCCAAGCAAGATGGAAAATTGTACCAAGATCCATCTTGTCTGAAGACAATTCTTGCTGGTTTGCCATGTCCCCCAAAGGTCCAATGAAATTCAAAAAAAATCCTGATCTAATTCGGAGTGAGTTAGGGCCAGCCATGGATCTGAGTTGTAGGTAAGCCTGTTGACCGGGTGAAACATGCACATCAGCGACGATGGGCAGCTTAGAGCTCTGAGCAGCTCTGGCACGTGGGCGAGCGCAGCCTGGAGACAACGTCAGGCAGAGGTACTAGTTTATATCCTGAAGCAGTGTGATACTGTGATGCAGCTCTCCTAAATAACTGATAGTCGCTTTTGGGCTTGGATGCTGCTTGGTGATCTTTACACATCGCTCTGAAGCCTGGGACGGACACTGCTGCAGTGTGGGTTTAACGGCTAAGGCCTTGCACAGCCAGCCCACAATGTTAGTTTTCTGCATTGCCCATCTCTTGCCTCATGTGCCCTCTTTCCATCCCATTTGCCTTTTCAATTGGTCACAACCCTGAAGTTATTATTTCTTCATAGTCTGGTAGAGTAGTCTGGTAGTCATTTTAAGGGAAATCTATCACCTATGTTTATGCTTGACATTTTATTGGGAAAACATACAGTTTCCCTAAAGCCACGCCATTGTGCATCACTGCAGACTTAAGAATGTACTGGAATCCTGGAAATAATCACCAGCTCTGCTGTACTGGAGTCCTAGCTACATAAGAAATGATGGGATTTTTACACATAGATGCTTGGTGAGCAGCAGTCTTTCACAATATTCAGTAATCCTGTGCTAGCTTCTTTTTTTTTTTGTGCTCCAACTCACCTGTCCCACAAATATGTTACCCGCAGCTACCAGAGACTCAACAGGAGTTGTCCCCATGAAAATCTGCATTATCCAACCAACCTAAAATTATTTTAAAAGAAACAAAGATAAAACCAAACACCATCACATTGGTCTGCTTATTCCATGCATTTCCTGAACTCATCATGTCAATGTAAGAGTTCTGAGAAACCTTACAGTGTCTCCTGAGTTAATTATTTCAGCTTCAAGATACGGCACATTCCTTTTAATAGTAGCATGTTGAAATAAGCCAGTACCCCAGGTTCCTCCTGGGCACTAAATTGTTAAACTAAATTAATCAAAGAAGATATTTTGATAGATCCTTATCGCTTATGTACCTGTCCAAGGGGGCTTGGATCATATGAAGGGGAAAAAATGTGAAATTTATATTAAGGTTAAAAATACCTCAAAGAAATTTTACCATACTGCTTTGGCTAGGTGAGGTATGGTGGTGCTGATATAACAAACCTGTGAATGAGAAGGAGAAAGGACTTTCAAATAAGGTTTAACTGCCACTATGCAGGAAGGTCTTTTCCCTTACATGCTAAGTTAATTGGGCAGACAGGGCAGAAGTGGACTTTCTGTGATCTTGCTTTTATCTTAGAGGAAACTGGAACTGGACACAGGACTAGACAGAAATGAACACAGAACATGAGGTGAGGAACCAGCCTCTGATCTTATTCTGGGGATCTGTGGTAGAAAGGTATATTCGATTGCCACTGCAATTCTTAGTAGAAAGCAGAAATCCATTGTCTATAATGTATCCTCCATCCTGTGCTTCGGGAGCTGGGAGAGGGACAGGCAGAAAGGAAGATTCAAGCAACTATGTCATCTGAGGAACGCTAAAGCTAGCCAGGTAAATCTATTACTGTGACGTTACCAACAAAACCAGGCTCGGGAGATGAAAGTGTGCTATGTGAGGCCAATTAGGATTTTACCATGGTAACACATGGAACTATTTCTAGGTTAAAAATAAGCAACTACGCTGAAGATCTTGGTCAGGGCCAGGGCTACAGTTTGGCTACATGTGTTCAAGAAGTGTCCCTACTGGCAAAAATTCATACCTTTCCAACGAGCCACTGCATGAATCCAATGTGGTAAAGCATAGACATTACTGTGCTGAAGAAAACCACAGTTGGCAGGACCTGATTTGGAGACACAACATCATTATCACTTCTAGACTTTTTCCTTTCCTTGATTCTATAGACCATTTAATTTTTTAAAAAGTGGTTTTGGAGATACACTTCAAGGTCTTGAAAACTTATCATTAAGTTTACACCTGTGGTGTAAAATATTTAGCCCTCCAGACTAATTTATCTTTGTGATGGAATTTACTGTTTTTCATGTGTTTACATAATTTTCTAAGGGGATTACAATAGTTTTGATATTGTCTGGTTTAACATGTTATGCATCACTTTATATCCACATTTAAGTCAGCTCAAAGACTTGCTGGGCAATGGCACTTGCAAACAACTGGTTATGTACATCTGTAAACTTTGAGAACCATGAACAGAAATATATACAAAGGGACTGTGGTGTAGAATTCAGACCCTAACTTTTCTGTGGCTGTGTTTAAAAAAACACAGGTGAGACTGCTATATACTCAGAAGTTGAAGAGATTTTGGCTGGGATTGTAGCTGACTTGATTTCACATAATCAAGGGCAGTATCCTTAGAAAGCTCATACTGTGTAGCTACCTTTTAATAACACACGATAGCAAAAGCTTCTTTTATTCTGCTTTATTTATAGCATGATCATAATACCAATGTGGAATATTCAAGAGCTCTGTAACTGTACTCAGAGACAGAATCTGCTCAAAAATAAATTCACAGGTGTACACTTATTAAACACAAGAAACGAAAATAAGTCTTTTTCAGTGGAGACTGAAGGAAAATTGTTTTCCTTAAGTATATAATTTAAACTAATTGCATGAATGTCTAACCCACTCTCTGATGGATTATTAGATGTGTTGTTTTTTCATCCTGAATACTAATATCATGGATTCTCAAGTATGGTAAATACACATGATTTCAGCATTTCTATTCTAGTATACAACAGGAAGAAAAATCCACACACCACACACACCCCCCAAAAGGTCCAAAATTAGGCAGACAGACTCATTATGGTTAAAACAGTACCACTAATACTAGTGGTACTAGGTTTTATGTGTGTCCAATGGAGGCCATTATGGATCATAAACAAAAGCAAGAAACAGAACAAAAAAGAAGAAAGCACTTTGCCAGTTCAGACTTTCAGAGTAAGTAGAAGCTGTGCCATTCGAGAAGAGGGTTAGTACTGTAAGCAATTTTGATAAAGGTTTGGAAACTCAATTTAGATGATCAGAAACTTTCACTGAGAGGAGAGAGTGCAATTCACACCGTGAATTCCAAGTTAATGTGAATTCATTAGCTGTGCTCTTCAAGTTAGTACGAGGCTGCTTTCTGCAGTTTGACCCTCTGATCCTCTCAGATCGTCTCAGGGCGGTTTGCCATGCAGTGATAGCAGAAAGTTGAAGTTAAGTAACACCTTTCTGCTGCTTTTTCTTTCCTGATGTTTTCCTTCCCTGTTCCTCAGGGTGTGCTAGCCAGAGAGGCAGCTGACTGCCAGCTGACTCCATTCCCCAACCCAAGTATGGACGGCTGCGATGCCTCCAGGGAAATGGGTCTGGAGAGGCAGTGGGCAGACACACGGCTCAGCTGTCTGTACTGGGGGGTAAAAAACCATGAGTAAGTGTCCTCCTGTCTTTCACCACAAATGGATGAGAAGAGCTCTCAGGTACCACTATGGTTGTTTTTCAGCTGCAGGAGTGAGAAGACAATGTTCTATCTACGCTGGGTCACAGCTGGGACCCTTCTGCCTGTTTGTTTCTTGTGCACATTCCTCTGAAATACCTTAGAAAACTTTAAAATATTATTTCCCTCTTTTGGGGTTACAGGTATTTCTGGATGAAGCTGGCATTTTTGTCTTTACAAAACAGGGAGTTTTTTTGCCGGTTGTGATCATTTGTGCCTTGACTGCACAAAGAGGTTGAGGACTATGTTATAGCTAAACCCTCTTTTCTAAATCCCTAGTACCTATTATACTGTGTCTTCATCAGAAAAGCATAATAACCATTTAATAGATAAGTAATTGTAATGATTTTTCATGTCCAGGCTAGCTGTTATCCAAGGCATAACAAAATTAAGTGGAAAACACTGCCAAATAAGGAGAATGTAAATAAGCTATTTGCAACACAACGCATTGCAGTGGGTTTTCAGTCGCGTCCTCTGCACAGACAAGTGCAATGAAAAGCACTTAACATGAAACAACTAGTTCAACTGAAAAACATCTCTTTTACAGAAAACCTCCCCGCACTGTTAATACACTGAAGCATTAAGTCAGTGGTTTTGAAACTTGGGAAAGAGGAGAGAAGAGCCTCAGGAAAACTCCTTCTGTCCCATTTCCATACGGAGCGGCAACCTCCTCTCCACCAGCTCTGAAAGGAGCTTCACCTTCTCACTGGGCCCCCATGGGGTTGCATGTTGTGGGTGGGACAAGAATGGGAAAAGTGGTAAGGTGGGAGCTTCTTCTCCCACTCCCCATCCTCTCCCTGTCTCTCTGCGGTGTCCAAACCAGGGGAGTTAGTGATATGGGGTCAATAGCTTCAGAGGGCTCCTCCTGCAGGCCTAGGGCTTGGGTATCAGGGCATATCATCCCGGCAATACCTTAATGGTGAAGAGCCGTGCCGGGGCATGGGACAGGAAGAGTAAAGCTCTGGTGGTGCTCGAGGGCCAGGTCAGGTGAAGTACCCAGAGGGCAAAGGGAGCCCAGGCTGGGAGAAGATCTGTGGAAGGAGCTCAGTCTTGCTGGAGCTGTGGGTACAGGAGCTGGGAGGTGAGGAGGAGAATAGACCATGCAAACCCTTTTATTTGAGGAGGGGTCCAGAGGGCTAGGGGCCCTGG